AATTCAACAGCACTTTATGCTAAAAAACCCTGAATAAACTCGGTATTGATGGAACGTATCTCAAAATAATAAAAGCTATTTATGACAAACCAACAGCAAATATCATACTGAATGGGCAAAAACTGGAAACATTCCCTTTGAAATCTGGCACTAGACAAGGATGCCCTCTGTCACCACTCCTATTCAATATAGTACTGGAAGTTCTAGCCAGAGCAATCAGGCAAGAAAAAGAAATAAAGGGTATTCAAATAGGAAAGGTGGAAGCCAAATTGTCTCTATTTGCAGATGACATGATAGTATACCTAGAAGATCCCATTGCATCAGCCCAAAACCTCCTGAAACAGATAAGCAACTTAAGCAAAGTCTCAGGATATAAAATCAATGTGCAAAAATCACAAGCATTCCTATACACCAATAACAGACTTAAAGAGAGCCAAATCAAGAACGAACTGCCATTCACAATTGCTACAAAAAGAATAAAATACCTTGGAATACAACTCACAAGGAACGTAAGGGACCTCTTCAAGGAGAACTACAAACCACTGCTCAACGAAATCAGAGAGGACACAAACAGATGGAGAAGCATTCCATGTTCATGGTTAGGAAGAATTAATATCGTGAAAATGGCTATACTGCCCAAAGTAATTTACAGAAGCAACACTATCCCCATCAAGCTACCATTGACTTTCTTCACAGAACTGGAAAAAACCACCATGAACTTCATATGGAACCAAAAGAGAGCCCGCATAGCCAAGTCAATTCTAAGTAAAAAGAACACAGCGGGGGGCATCACCCTACCGGATTTCAAACTATACTACAAGACGACAGTAATCAAAACAGCATGGTACTGGTACCAAAACAGAGATATGGACCAATGGAACAAAACAGAGGCACCGGAGGCAACACAACGTATCTACAACCATACAATCTTTGATAGACCTGACAAAAACAAGCAAGGGGGAAAGGATTCCCTGTTTAACAAATGGTGTTGGGAAAACTGGCTAGCCATGTGCAGAAAGCAGAAACTGGACCCCTTCCACCTTACACTAAAATTAACTCCAGATGGATTAAAGACTTAAACATAAGACCTGGCACCATAAAAACCCTAGGAGGAAATCTAGGCAAAACTATCCAGGACATAGGAGTAGGCAAGGACTTCATGAACAAAACACCAAAAGCATTGGCAACAAAAGCCAAAATAGACAAATGGGACCTAATCAAACTTCACAGCTTCTGCCCGGCAAAAGAAACTGACACTAGAGTGAATAGGCAACCAACAGAATGGGAAAAAATTTTTGCAGTTTACCCATCTGACAAAGGACTGATATCCAGAATTTACAAAGAACTCAAACAGATTTACAGAAAAAAAACAAACAAGCCCATTCAAAAGTGGGCAAAGAATATGAACAGACACTTTACGAAAGAAGACATATATGAGGCCAACAATCATATGAAAAAATGCTCGTCACTGGTCATCAGAGAGATGCAAATCAAAACCACATTGAGATACCATCTCACACCAGTTAGAATGGCGATCATTAAAAAATCTGGAGACAACAGATGCTGGAGAGGATGTGGAGAAAAAGGAACACTTTTACACTGTTGGTGGGAGTGTAAATTAGTTCAACCATTGTGGAAGACGGTGTGGCGATTCCTCAAGGCCTTAGAAATAGAAATTCCATTTGACCCAGCAATCCCATTACTGGGTATATATCCAAAAGACTATAAATCGTTCTACTATAAGGACACATGTACACGAATGTTCATTGCAGCACTGTTTACAATAGCAAAGACCTGGAATCAACCCAAATGGCCATTGATGATAGACTGGATTGGAAAAATGTGGCACATATACACCATGGAATATTATGCAGCAATCAAAAATGATGAGTTTGTGTCATTTGTAGGGACATGGATGAAGCTGGAGAACATCATTCTCAGCAAACTGACACAAGAACAGAAAATGAAACACCACATATTTTCACTCATAGGCGGGTGATGAAAAATGAGAACACATGGACACAGAAAGGGGAGTACTAAACACTGGGGTCTATTGGGGGGAAAAGGGGAGGGCCAGCGGGAGGGGGAGGTGGGGAGGGATAGCCTGGGGAGAAATGCCAAATGTGGGTGAAGGGGAGAAAGGAAGCAAAACACACTGCCATGTGTGTACCTATGCAGCGGTCTTGCATGTTCTGCTCATGTACCCCAAAACCTGAAATACAATAAAAAATTTAAAAAAAAGGAAAAGAAAAGAAAAGATGGATCAAAGACTTAAATCTAATACCTGAAGCCATACAAATTCTAGAAAAAAATATTGAAACAAGTCCTCTAAACAAATCTAAATGTCTAGAAGTGTTTATTTATAAATAAAAGTTATTTATAAATAGGACCCCAAAAGCAAATAGAACAAAAATAAAAACAAATAAATGGGACCTAATTAAACTAAAAAAACTTCTGCACAGTGAAAGGGATACTAATCAGAGTAAACAGACAGTCCACACAATGGGAAAAGATATTTACAAACTATACGTCTGACAATGAACTGGTACCCAGAATCTAAAAGAAACTCAAACAAGTCAACAAGAAAAAACAAGATCATCAAAAAGTGGGCACAGTACATAAATAGACATTTCTCAAGAGAAGACCTACAAATATTCAGAAAGTAAATGGAAAAATGCTCAGCATTACTAATCATTAGGGAAATTTAAACTAAAACCTCAATGAGATACCACCTTACCCCTGTAAGAATGATCATTATTAAAAAGTCAAAAACCAACAGATGATGGCATGAATGTTGGGAAAAGGGAGTGCTTGCAAATCGCTGGTGGGAATGTAATAACTAAATATGTTGATTTTTTTATTTTCAGCTTCATTACACTCAGTCTGAAATGTTGTTTTTATTGTTTATTCTTTGTGGACTTCATTGAAGTTTGCTTTTTGATCAAACACAATTTATTTGAGATCATAAATTCAAAAATTTTATGGATTTTTGTATACACTAGAGAAGAAAGAATATTGTCTATCATTGGTACATAAAACACAATTTGTTATCTTTTATTTACAAGTTTTACCTATTTTTCTATTATTTTCTATTGGTCAAAATCTCCAAAACTATCAAGTAATGCTTTTGCAGTTGTGTGTATTTCCAATCTGAAAAATATAAAATCCATCAAATTTTACTTTTAGGAATGATGCTGTTTAAACACAAAAGTATTTCATACTACCAATTTACTCAGCCCTATATGGTCATATTTCATATATTCATTCCATAGAAAGTGGGTAAAAGATGGCTTATTAAAGGAATTTTGAGTCTAATAAACCTGAATTCAAATCTCAGGTTTACTTTTTATCATCACTATGAACAACCATTTACACTGCCTGATACTTAATTTCTGAATTTGCAAAATGGAGGTAAAAATACCTTTCTTAAATAATTATTATGCAAATCTAACGAAGTATACATTTTACATCAAGTGCAGGACCATAAAACCAATTTTGGTATTCAATTAAGGTTATTCTTACATTGAAACTTTTCCAAAAGTATTTGTATACATATATTTATCTAATTATTAAAATTTACACTATATAGCATGTCTCCCCTTTATATGAAAGGTGTAGTATTTTTTCTTGTATTTCCTTTCTCCTCTCAACCCTTTCCATTATTATGGACTTGTAAAGCTCAATTTCTTCCTTCTTGTGCTTTAACAATATTTCAAATATAATTCTACAAGGATGTTTAGTATAATTATTGTATTAAAATTAATAATGCAACCATGTACCCCATTTTTTTGAAATAGTTTATTTCTTCTCTCTCCTTTTCTCTTTCCTTTTTTTTCCCATTTCCTACATAGCCGTTTAGAAATGCAAATATAGCCTTTTACCTCCCCTTCACTAGACACTCCCCTGTGGGGAGTACCACTTCAGAGAGGAAATTTCACTCACCAGCCAGTTGCTTTGAGCGATAACAGTCAATTTATAACCCAAAGTATGTCTGCCTAAGAAGATGCCAGCAGTCACCAGCTTGACAGTCCAGTAGACCGGGCACCAAGCTAACCCAGAGATCTGCCACCTGTTTGCTTTCCCCACCTGCCACGAGCTTGCCATTTCTGTTAGGCCTCTTTTAAAACCGCTCTTTCTGCTCCAAAAGCCAAGTGGTATCCTTAGGCAGGAAGCCTATGTAAGAAAAACAGTTCTCTGAACCTTAGCTTCCTTTGGGAAATCATTAGATTCATAGCCAATACTTAAGACCGTGATACTGAAGGAGAACACCTAGGAAGAGAATGTAGAAAATAAATCAAAGTTAAACAAAGTATATGTCATAAATGAAATATGTAGTGTCTCTGAAGTAAATGAAAATGATAGTGTTTCAAGACACTGGAAATACTGAATTGCAATCAAAATTACTGAGGGAGTGTGAGGTGAGCAAAGAAGGAGGCCTATTTAATTTGTTAACGTGGAAAAAGCATTGGTGAAGTTGACAATAGAAATTTTAGATAACAAATGGAATAAGAAAAACAAACTAGGAGAAGAGTGATGTCAGGCTGAGGAAGTAAAGACAATATTGACAACCTTTGGCTTTAGGATATACCAAATATTGAAATAGGATGATACATGGAGGATAATCATATTTTAGTGGGTGCTGCTGTTTTGTCAGATTTTAAGATGCAATGCAAGATAGTCAAGAAGGATTCACTAAGTAAATAAATGCAATTTGATGACTATAGTTAACTAAATTTTAAGGAAATATGTGTCTCATCAGTTGGACATGGAAAAATAGCAGTAAAAATTGAGTTTATATTCCTTTGGCTTAGCTTGTGATATGTTAATATGAAAGTACTATCTTTTACAGTTTCTCAATTATTTTTTAATTTAGATAAATTTAAATATTAGAAATATATACTCAATTTTTCTTATTAGATTCACAATTAGAGATAAAATGAAACAAGTAGATTTCAATCCCCTTTCACAGAGATCTTAGAAGAAAATTATGCTGGTTTTTTTTTTTTGTTTTTGTTTTTGTTTTTTTGTTAGGCGATCTATCTCTCTTTCCAGACTCTATGCTTTTTTAAAAGCCCCTTTAAAGAAAACGAAATATCTCTTTGTTCTGTTGTGAAATAATTATGTGACCTATTCAGCCTAATATTATTTTAGTTAGATGCTTAGAGACTTAAAACTCATTATATTAATGACTTTATGGGATACATTCTAGATTCTTTTTCAGGAAAATGTCAATGAAGAAACAGAGGTTTTTGATCATTATGAGAAATACATAGCTCATGTTTTCCAGACAAAAGTAGTAACTGGCTGTTAAGCTGAAAATCATGATACTGAAAAGAGGACTCAGATCATCTCCTTCTACTTAGGTTTGTCTTTTCATAAAAAATGTACTCCCTAGGTTTCGTTGAAGGGAATATGGTTTAATTATTAGACTGGTCCTTCACAAGAGTGAGAAGGTAACAAATATATTGAAACGTTGGTGGACATGCCAGGGATGTTGAGCTTCCCAAGGTATTTACTGAGAAAGCACCAGCCAACAAACTCCTTTATGTAGTACTTCCAGAAAGATTTTATCAGCTCCTGCATAAAAGGCAAATAGAAGTAATTCTATTCTTTTCTTCTCACTCCTGCCAAGTGTTCATTCACATGCTATAGGATTTGGTATCCTTAGAACCCGAAAGGATCCTTATGACACAGTCTTGTATCTGTTTGGTTTTCACCCCATAGACAATAGGGTTCATAGAGGGAGGTAGGAGCAGATAAATATTGGCTACAATGATGTGGCAAGAAGCTGGGATTGTGTGTTCCCCAAAGCGGTGGGAAAAGAAGGAGAAGAAAGCTGGAGTATAGGAGAAAACAATGGCACAAATGTGGGCACTGCAGGTATTAAAGGCCTTCTGTCTAGCATCTGCTGAGGAGAGGCTGACCACTGCCCGGAGAATCATGGTATAGGAGGCTGTGATGCACAGTATGTCAAAGCCCCCAATCAGGAGGGCAACCATCAAACCGTAGATGGCATTGACCTTGACATTACCACAGGACAATTTGGCTACAGACATGTGGTCACAGTAGGTATGGGGAATTATATTGCCTCTGCAGTAGGGCAGGCGCTTGGTGAGGAGAGTAAAGGGAATAATGAGTAGTACCCCTCTCAGGAAGGTGGCAAGCCCAACCTTTGTGATGAGAGGATTGGTGAGGATGGTTGAATAGCATAAGGGGTAGCAGATGGCCACATAGCGATCCAGGGCCATAAGCATAAGCACCCCAGACTCCATCCCTGTGAAGGTGTGGATGAAGAACATCTGGACAAGGCATTCATCAAATCCAATGTCTTTGAGGTGAAACCAGAAGATGCAGAGGGCTTTAGGGATTGTACTAGAACACATGACAATGTCAGTAAAGGAAAGCATGGCCAAGAAGTAGTACATGGGTTTGTGCAGGGCATCCTCGTAGCGAATGAGGTAGAGGAGTCCACAGTTGCCTACCATAGCCACAACATACATAGAGCAGAATGGGAAGGAAATCCAGAGCTGTGTGTCCTCCAGGCCTGGGACTCCACTCAGAATAAATGAAGCTGGTATTAGGTCCGTTTTATTCAGTGTTAGCATGATAAATCTGGTAGGTTATGAAGTCGCTTAAATTTTGTGTGGGTTTTCCTAGAGTTAAAAAAAAAGACAAGAGAAAATATAGGTTATGTTTACTGTCTCCCTCGCCCCAACTTCAAAAACTTCTATAATGCATTTTCATGGTCCAACAACCAAATTTCTGAATGCCACGGAATAGTTTGGTTTGTCTGTTTATTTTTATGGATTGATTAATTCCTTGATTAAGTGAACAGTTCTTATTGGGAATTCTAAGTTTTCGTCAGAGATGCAAGTCAAACATTAATTAATTTGTAAAAAGACATTCTCAATCGCATAGATTTATAATCAAATATAATTCTAACTTTTCAATGGTATTTTTACTAGTGTATCTTACTTAACTACAACTATACTCATCTCAATATAGATGTTATTTTAAAGAAGAGTAATTTAATTACCTCACTGATGATCCAAGAGATGAGATGTAGACTTTTTAATTTTTATTCTTAAGGAATGTCTGGTATTCATTCTTGGGTACTCAGACACTGTTCAAAGAATTTTGATATTTTAATTATTACTCAATGAAGCTTAGGGTCTCAAAAATTAGTAAATGTATTGAGTGTCTATAGTCAATAATAATTTGATTATGTATTTTCAAATAACAAAAAGAGTATAATTGGGTTGTCTGTAACATAAAGGATAAATGTTCGAGGTGATGGATATTCCTATTTACTTTAAGCATATTATTATTATTATTATCATTATTATTTTAAGACAGTGTCTCACTCTGTTGCCCAGGCTGGAGTGTAGTGATGCAATCTTGGCTCGCTGCAACCTCCGCCTCCCGGGTTCAAACAAGTCTGTCTCAACCTCCTGAGTAGCTGGGATACCAGGTGCATGCCACCATGCCTGGCTAATTTTTGTATTTTTAGCAGAGACATGGTTTCACCATATTGGGCAGGTTTGGTCTCCAACTCCTGACCTCAGGTAATCCACCTGCATTGGTATCCCTAAGTGCTGGGATTACAGGCATGAGCCATTTTGCTCAGCCCTTTAATGAGATTATAGCACATTGTATGCTTCTATCAAAATATCTCAGACCCCCATTAATATACACATCTACCATGTACTCACAAAAATTTAAAATTTACAAAAGTCAATGAAGTTTTGATTCAGTATTTTCACTTTTCAAGATATCTTTCTTGTTCTTTATGTATCCAGTCAACACAAACTAGAAGACATCCAAATGCATACGTACATAAAATATATGAAGCAGTTCAACAACATCAGCAAGAAAAAGTTGTGGGAAGGAACATACACTTCAAAAGAGGGATAAAAGTGCAAACAAACATTTAAATAGGCACAAACTTTTATATTAATCGGAACAATAAGTAAAATTTTTATCTTTTATGACAGAGCAACATTTTTTTGGCATGTCGTGACTTATCAAACTGGACAGCTAAAATGAAAAGGACTAAAAATACCAAGCATTGCCAAAGATGTAGAATAATTGGAATTCTCATTTCTTATGGGAAGACATGTAAATTTAAACAACTGTTAATTGGATATCTCCTTATGATAAACATACACATGACCATCATTTACATTTCTAACACAACAGTGTACATGCATTTACTAGAATACATAAATTAGAATGCTTATTGCAACATGATTTGTAGTGTACCCTAAAACTGGAAAAAAACTAAATGTTCATCAACATCAAATGGGTAAATAAATTTTGGTACATTCCCACAATGATATGCCATGTAAAAATAAGAGTTAACAATCTATGACTATATGCATACTATATACTAATCTCACAATCTGTTAATTTTTTTAGAAAGATTTAAAATAGCAGTTAACATTTTGTGTTCTTTCAATAAAATGCAAAAACGGATCAAATTATTCTTGCTATTAGAAATAGAAAAATGCTGTTACGAAGTGAGAGAGAGTGATAACTGAAAGGCAGTATGTGGTAGAGGGTCCTGTGAGTTACTGGTCATATTCTCTTACTTGATTTGGTTGTGAGGTATACAAGATGCAGGTTTTAAAAATCAATCAACATGTAATTGGATTAATTGTAAGATTGCATATGTATGTTAGAATTTATAATAAAAATTAAATTGCCAAGAGGATTAAGGGACGCTAACTAATTTTAAGTGCTCAATACCCATATTTGTATTTTCTTCTCAGGCTTGCAGCCATTTTGGCAGTGCTTAAAAAATTAACACCTTAGGAATCACCAGTGCCACCAAATGAGCTCTCTTTTGTGCCCCATCAGAGGAGGTATTCATCCTGCCCTCCATTAATAAAATCAACTCTTTTATGATTATTGTCTGATAGGAGATACAGTTTCACATAAAAATTCTGCATCATTGAGTAACAACCAAGAGGACAGATCAGATGTCTCAAAAGCCAACTTGTTTTGAAAATAGTAGAGAAACACAGGTTAAACTTGTTAATAGGCATACTCCTCAAAGATGTGTCCTTGAGTCATTACAAAATGGGGAGGGATAACATGGGGAGAAATGCCAGATATAGGTGATGGGGAGGAAGGCAGCAAACCACATTGCCATGTATGTACCTATGCAACAATCTCGCATGTTCTTCACATGTACCCCCAAACCTAAAACACAATAAAATATATATATAATAAAAAATAAAAATGTTAGTTATACAAGGTGTCATAGGAGCACCCGTGTGTCTAACCTAGCTTCAGGAGATGCTCCTAGAGAAGAGGACAGATGCTCCCAGACCTGGAGCATGATTAGAATTCTGACAGGTCAAAGTGGTAGGAATAGTCTTCTCTTCTCTTGCTGTTTGTTATTTCCTACTCATATCACACTGACATTCTCAGCTTTGTGATAGGCGACCTCTATCTCTTTGGTGCTCCCTTTACCCACTCCCCTCAAACGTAGCTAATCCCTACACATTCTGCAAAACCATCATCAGGAGATCTCAAATGTCCTTTAAGCATGATAGTGACCCATCCTTTAAATTATTTTAAGATAATGTAGCTTACCAACAGCCATGATTAGGAGTAAGAAATTGGTTTGTTTAAATAATTATTCTCTTTAATTATATTTACCTCATGATATTATGAAAATCAATTTATATTTAGGAATTCTCCAAAATTCAGTGAAATCACTGATGTAAGGACAGTGTCTGGTAAATCATCCTCAGAGCTTAGCAAATCAAATCTCTCAGATACTCAATAAATGTCAATTTTAAAACAAATAAATAAATGAATAATTGAAGAAGTGAATGAATCACCAGACACACTTTGAGAATTAATAAATTATAATCAAAATATTATTAGATTGGTGCAAACATAGTGGCAGTTTTTACCATTAAAAGTAATGGCAAAGTCACAATTACTTTTGCACCAACCTAATATTATTTAGAAAATATAAAATAAACCACTAGAAGAAAAAGAAAAATTTTCTTAAGATTACTAGGTAAGAGAAACAAAATAAGGAATCCATCTCATGAAGTAGAAAAACAAAGAGAATGAAAAGTGGGAAGAAAACAATAAGATGATAAAGGTAGAACAAATATATTGGTTTTGGAGATAAAAATAATTTAAACATCCCATCAAGTTGAAATAATTCCAATTAATTTTTTTAAATTACATATGCAGTATAATACTTCATCAGAATGAAAACTATACACAGAGGTTTAAAATATATATAAACTTACCTTTTTTTTAGGTAAACAGTACACCTACTTAGAGATGATATAGTAACAGCATAGAAAAGAATTCAAAGCAAAAACACTCAAGCCAAGATCACTTCGAGAGGTAAAACATTTAGCATTGTGTAAGTGTAATTAATGGCAATTGCACCAAATTGTTGCTTTTCTAGGTTTGATAAGGTTTTTCTATAACATAAATAAGGAAAACACTTAAATTCATATTCTTACTTTGTTAATTCTGAAGGACAACGTTAATATGAGGACTTCTCAAAGTTACACTTATATTACATAGCAGCTTGTAAACTAATTTTTAATTTTCTAATTAAGGAAAGTAGATGATTCAAAAACTGAAATTTTAGCTTTGGAATTTTAAGAATTGTGTTATTATTTTTAAAAATAGCATAAAAGATAGTCTTTTCAATACATGAAATGTTTTTCCTTGAAAACAAAAATTACAAGATTCTGTCATTCAGACAGAATTTATAAACTATGAATCTATATTTTATATTTGTAGTCACCATCATATTTTTCAGATTTCTTACACATTCCTCATTTTTCAGATGTTTTGCAATATATTATTAAGCAAAAATAACCAACAATTAATGACAGTTGCGATAATTCATTTATAAAACTACCTTTTCAATAATTTATAAAAATTTAGTATAAGCTATTCAATAAGGTCATGATTCTTTTCTCCCTTCATCTCACTTTAATATGTTGAACGGTATCTTAAATGAGATGCTCAACACTTCTTTTGTGTTATACATTGCTTTGTAAATTGCAGTTCAGGACACACTTTTGCAGCTTCTCTTGGAGTTAAAGTGACTATTTCAAGTAATGGAAAAATACTATTTTTAATGTCTTCATGACTTATGTGCAGAAAGAACAATTACCTGTGTGGAGAAAAATATACTTGTAGATCTATATTGAAGCTGCACATATCCAAGTATGTGTTCATGGTTCTACTGCATTTGAAACCAGTATCCATGTGTTAGAAGTAGGTAGAGAAATTCGGGGAAGCACAAATATTTCCTAAACCGAAAATAGAGTACCTTTTCTTCTGAGACTACATGCACATCTTAATCTAAAGACTAGTTAAATATTTTATTAATATTTCCTTGTTTTAGGTATAACTTTAGTCAGTAAAACTGGCTTTATGCTTACACAGCAATTTAGATACCATCTTCCACACACTTGCAAAGCTCTCCAAGAACTACATAGCTATGAAGTATTATTAATAACTATAGGTATGCAGTTTTCTTTCTAAAAGAAATTTAAAATAGTTTCCACACATCAACATTTAATTTCTTCTGCAAAGAAATTTGACTTCACTATGCTCTGGTATGGTAAAAGTAATTGGACTGGTAATATTAATACATGTT